AAGCCCTGGAAGTTTGAACTGTGCTTCATGCAGCCTAGAAAGTGGGGACTTCATGACTCAAGGACGAAAGCAAAACAGTGCAGGATTTAAACCGTTAAAGGAGCACTAACAGGTAGTGATGCTTTTCTTCCTGAACCTAATGCCAGTGAAAGCAGCAACTGGTTCAGAGAAGTTTTGTAAGCAGAATCCAGAAAAACTTCTGAGTCAGGATTCAAAGCCTTTAGGGAAAGCAGGTTTGACCCAAACAAGGGGCTGACTACAGAGGAGCTTTAGGAAAGACCCTTTCATGAGTAGAAGGAAGGAGGAACTGAGGATTTAGACTAGAAATGGTTTTAGCAGTGTGTGTTAGGACAAGTAACAAGCAATATATCTAATTCCTGTGTGTGTATTTGGTTATACCCAAAGAGCATTTCAGATTGGTCTAAAGTACCTTTTCACTTTCAGTAGTTGACAATACTGTATTTTCCAGGACAGCACAGGGAAGGGAAAAGGGGAAGACAAGGCCCTAGGGACACTGTATTAGAAAGGAAACCTTGATCTTTGGGTTAAATAACCAAGGATATCTAAAGTGATTGAGAACATTCTCTCCTAGAGCTTCCCAGAGTTTTGTTTTATCAGCTCTCACAATCAGCTGAAATGCTGTTAGTTCTATACCTTGAGCTAGTTAAGGCTGGGATGGAAAACATCAATCTTGAAAATTTCCAGGATTAAATTTTCTCTTGGAGCCCATGAAGCCATTTTTACTTATGAGAGTTTCTGAGTTGTGACATAGATATAATATTTCTCATTTAAATGTTATACAGTGACATACTAAATTACCTTATTTGCCTTGGAGCTTCTGAACTACTGAGCTTTTAATTATTTGACCTCTGTGAATCTGATCTTCAGTTTTGCAGTACAAGCTTTACATCTGCTGTGTAAGCTTCTTTAAAACATGCCAAGGTAGAGATCTAATTATGCTCTATTTGTCTTTTTAAAAATAAGTATCAATGTATTTTCTATTTCAGGGCATTTGATGTAGAACTGCTCTACATAGCACAGTTCTTTAAAATTCCAATAGCAGAAGTTGCTGTCAACTGGACTGAAATTGAAGGTGTGTATTGTTTATTTTTTGGCTGATCTTTAGTCAGACAAAGGGGGAGACATCAGACAATTCAGTTGTCCACTAAAGCCAGCTGGCTTTAATGTTCTCCCACTCCCTTCATCAAGGCCTTCTCTGCTGTCTTGACTCAAAGAGCCCGTTCCATGGAGAGTATTGCCTACTAAGCCCCTCCATCGGGCTTGCTGCCTTCTATATTGTTTCTGTCTTCTTGGGGCCTTCAGTAGGCCCCAAGGAACTTCAGGAAAACCTCCTGCAACAGGCAAGGCCATGGTGACCTGAGGTTAGAAGCAAGGTTGATAGTCTTTTGAGATAAACTTTATTGTTTGCATCACTCTCTCATTATACTTCTTGATCACTAGATGGATATTGAGACCTACAAACCACTATGCAAAGCTAAATAAGAAATCACAGTTGTTTTTCTTCCAAATGTCAATTCAGAGCCATTTTTTTTTAACTGTTACCTATATCTGTACATATAGCAAAAAATGCAAAGATTTCTAAACTATAATAATTTGAAATCTATCATATAAATCTTAATAAGTCCTGTTTGGAAAAGCTTGGACAGCTCTGGTTGTATAGAATTTAAAATATATTCTAGTTTGTTTACTTTAGAATGAACTTAAATTAATTCATGGTGTAAGAGCAGTTAACATAA